TTTTCTTTACTAATAGACAATTGGTATAATTAAATGTGGGCAAACCAGGAGTAAACCGTTATAATGGCCAAATTTCAGACAGCTACACTGTTCGCAAACTTTGAGGGAAGTTGTCAAAATAGAAAATCATAATTTTAACACTTTTTTGCACATGCATGGTCCAGTTAAAAAATGCATAAAAAGCACAAAAATGACCTATTCAACATCCTTCAAAACAATCAAATTGAGAATGGAAATGGGGAATGTGTCAAAGAGACAACAACCCGACCATAGAACAGACAACAGCAGAAGGTCACCAACAGGTCTTCAATGCAGCGAGAAATTCCCGCACCCGGAGGCGTCCTTCAGCTGGCCCCTAAACAAATATATATACTAGTTCAGTGATAATGAACGCCATATTAAACTCCAAATGCTATTAATTTCCGATAATTTTGAGCATTTTCTACACAGATATGAGCCCACAAAGTTAGTTGCCTATTAATTTCAATAGAAGTGTTGCAACCCTTTCTTTTCTTCTTCGCCTTGCACTATGCCCGACGCGCTAGACCACTCGACCACCTATGCTCTATAAAAATAAAGCTTTCGGTGGCCGGGTGTTGCCTTTCCTCGTCACTTTTTTTCTAGCGTCGTAACACAGTACATGATATATAAGGCATGAAGATGGAATTGTTTCAGATCAGCTGAATTATCTATTGTAAAGGATCCTACAAATTAATGTAAGATGCAGTCACAGAATATATATATATTTAAAAGCAAGTCGAAATTGAAAACAACGTTCAAACCTATGATTGCGTGGATAAAAACCGCAATTTTTATACGTGTGCATGCAAAACAAATTTCTTGATAGAGGGGTCTAAATACAGCACAAACAACATTTTCCAAAAGACCAAAAAAGTGAAAAAGTAATTTTAACAAAACGCATTTGACTAGCAGGTCGAACAACGGATGTTCTTAAACCCTGCTGACTGCCATTGGCGATTGCCAAATAAACGGGTTACCAGTTGTAACAAAATGAATCTTAAAAATTAATTTAATACCAAACAGAAAACAATAAACTTGCGGAAGAGATGGTATACAGCAAACAAAAGGTGCGAAAATTAGTACACCATATCCGGATTTCGACAATTAATGTCTCTTCAATGATGTTAGGAATCGAAACGGTATTTGGAAGGCCGTATAATTTACCTCAATTTAGGAAAGACTTTTGAATTTTAAAGAGACGAAATAGGATGAACGGATCATATTAATCCGAAGGCAAATATGATAAAAGCCCAAACGAAAAAATATAAACAAGTCTAAATTAAAAACAACGTCCAAACCTATGATTGCGTTGGATAAAAACCGCAATTTATATATATTTAATTTAGAAAGAAGACCGTATAGTCTCCTTACAAGCACTAAAATGAAAAAAAAGGATATATTTTAGCTTATGAAATAGCATTTCCTAATCACGATTAATTAACATATTGCTATGTGCATTTATTTGAGAAGGCATGTTTTTTTCTACATTATAATTACTAATTATTCCCTTTGATGTCTTCATTGAAGGTAAAAAACGACCAAACTGTAAACAATTAAATTGTTTTACAACCTTCATACAAGTTAAATAAACCTGAGACTATAGTAGTCTCAGAATAAACCAATCGTGTCAGCATCCAGCCGGTTTTGTTAAAAAGGCTAATATCGAGATAAAAATATGACGAGTCCGTGAGGTAAAAAATATAATTAAGGTTCATCATAAGAAATGAACAAACATGGCTGTATTTACAACTAAAAAACTACTCTGAGTACAGACTAACCTGTCCAGTCTGAAAAGTTTGAAGTCCTGGCATCCACTAGATATATAAAAGTTAAATACATTTTGTGTTTCAGAAAGAGAAAATCTTTTTTTGATTTTGATGGGCATTTTTTTTCGTTACTGCAGAAGGTGTAAAAATAAACTAAGTTCGGATACAACTTTGAGATGCTCCTTCTCAGGTAACAAATTATTGTATTTATTGATTGTCTTGATTGGCATGGACAATAGACACGGCTGGTAATCTACACACGCAGAACAATCGGTTCTGCAATGAAAACCGTGAGAGGATTTTCCGGTTATGCTTGAGTGGAGTAATTGTCACCGCTTCGAAAGGTATGTACATTTCTAAATCGAAATTTTCTAGTTCAATTGATCATAATATTGAAAATCGGAGAATGCTATGCTGTGGTGAATACTTTAACGAAGAGACATATGTATCATTTACTGTTGTGCATGGAGTAAAACTCCTACAAAATCAGTCGTCCCACGAGTAATTGATGAAAAAAGTGACATTTCAATTTTGAGATGGTTCTATTAACAGACCTACAAGTTCAAATTTAGTTTTTAATCTGTTAACAGGATTGAATGTCGTTTTGGGCGGCGTGTACGCTGTCTGAAGTTGATAGACGTCTTAATAAATCTAAAAACTGCCAATTTTCATTATTTCATGCGTGAGGGGATTTGTTCTGATTGAGGACATCGTGAATGCGTGAGGGGAAGTGCAAACATATCTTTATATCGAAAAATGCAACAATCACTTCAACGACAAAATTATTTTATATCTCTTATATACTGTGTGCCGTTTACATTCTGACGTCAAACACGCGACTCTACACTAGAGTTGATGTGAACCTTGCCATTCAGTCACAGGCCTTCAAATATTTCAATCCTTTATTGGTTGATTTAAAATACATATATAAGTAAGCAATGAATGTGGTTGTTAAATTTGATAGATACTTTTTTATGCTTCTTTGTTAAATATTTGTTTGTTTTTGTTCTAATTGAGATTGTGACACGGTGATGACTGCTGACCACTATTTTGACAACTTTACCTATTATGTCTGTTTTGTTCACGCATCGTTGTAAATATGATGGAATTTGATGCGACTGTCATACAAGTGAGAGGTTCAGCGCTATAAAACCAGGTTCAATCCACCATTTTCTACATTTGAAAATACCTGTACCAAGTCAGAAATATGACAGTTGTTGTCCATTCGTTTGATGTGTTTTATCATTTGATTCTGCCATTTGATTAGGGACTTTTTTTTAATTTTCCTCGGAGTTCAGTATTTTTGTGATTTTACTTTTTTCAAAGAAAGGCAAGTAACTTGCACAGTTTTATTGAAGTTCATACTAAATATAAATTGACAATGAATATGGAAATGGCTGCAACGTAAATATAAGTGGTTTAGATTTATGATTGACTTTAATTGCACTTCCTCTCACGCATTCACGATGTCCTTAATCAGAACCGATCCCCTCACGCATGAAATAATGAAAATTGGCAGTTTCTAGATTAATTACGACGTCTTTCAACTTCGGACAGCGTACACGCCGCCCAAAACGACTTTCAATCCCGTTGACAGAAAAAAAACTAAATTTGAACTTGTAGGTCTGTTAATAGAACCATCTCAAAATTGAAATGTCACTTTTTTCATCAATTACTCGTGGGACGATTGATTTTGTAGGAGTTTTACTCCATGCACAACAGTAAATGATACATGTGTCTCTTCGTTAAAGTATTCACCACAGCATAGCATTCTCCGATTTTCAAAATATTTTGATCAATTGAACTAGAAAATTTCGATTTAGAAATGTACATACCTTTCGAAGCGGTGACAATTACTCCACTCAAGCATAACCGGAAAATCCTCTCACGGTTTTCATTGCAGAACCGATTGTTCTGCGTGTGTAGATTACCAGCCGTGATAGACAGACAATTGATATCTACACAACTGTAAGTGAGTTAAAGGGTGTAATTTAGTGGACAGTATCAAATGAAATGGTGTCTTCCCGTTTGTCCCACTTTTTGAAATTACAGGTAAAATAGTAATGATGGGACAATCGGGAATATGTTTGTGGGACAATTGGGAAGTTCAAATGTGGGACAATCGGGAATTGTAGTGAATGAATGAAAGAAATGAATGAATGAATGAATGAATGAATGAATGAATGAATGAATGAATGATTTCTGAATGAATGAAGGATTTTTTATTCTCATAAAACTAATGACATAGTTATAGAGACAATAGGTATATACAACAATATAATGTACACTGCATGTGTGAATGAATGATATACATTAACCAGGAGGAGGGACTTTCACATTAACAGCTTTAATATATCGACATATTTTTTCTATAAATGATAACTTATATAAAAGAGAGAAGAGTTTACATTCTTTTCATTGTAAAAGACGACACCAACATTTGATCTGGCAAAATTCTGGACATCAGCTTCGAAATCGATGAAGAAAGTTGTTGGGTTCAGGTGAATCTGCTAGAAGTCTTCAGTTGTTTTTTTTTTAATTCCAAGCATTATTTCTAAATTATTTCAAAACTTTAAAAAAAGTTTAATTAAAATTAAGGTATTGCTATTTGTTTTATAAATAAACGTAACATTATAGATATATGTTATATTATCTTATCAAAAGTGCATTAATCTGATGATTTAAAAAAATACATATCATAGTTTATGCATTTTTAAAATTGATATTAAATAATAGTTTGAACATGCAATAATTAATTCTTGTTTATTTAACAAAACAAACAACAGTTACACTGTTTATTTAATAACATTTTACTACATAAAATAATGTGGGACAATCAGAACTTTTCATGTGGGACAATCAGAACTCTAAAATTAAAAAAAGTGGGACAATCTATATATCTAGTGGATGCCAGGCGTTAAAACTTTTCCAACTGTACAGGTTAGTCTGTTTTTTGAGATGTAAATACAGCGATTTTCGCCCGTTTGTTATGATGAACCTTAATGATTCGTTGTGAATCAATTATGCATGCATTGAATGTTTTAAAAATAAAGGTCAACACTTCCTTCTGCTCTATTCTTTTATATATTTACTTTTGGTTTGTTCTTTTTAATTTTTTAAACAGAAGCCATTTTTTAATGTCTGCTGAAAAAATAAACCAAGAATTTTGACCTCAGAAATGAAACAGGAAGGAAAGATATATATACAACTTACCTCATACCGCGTGCGTCTATCCATTTTCAACCAAATGAGTTAAGTCGTACACACATTATCACTATTTAATACATAATCCTTTTTTATACTTGAAATTGCATCCAAATTGCGAAATATACTTTTTCTTAAAACCACGTAAACACAACTTCACCTGTTTTTAACTGTGTTCTTATTATAAGTGAATAAGGGCAAACTTTAAAGTTACGGATGACTTGCTTTTTATGTCGAGCTATTTAATGAATGGGGAATAAATTTTAATGTCGTATGTACAAAAAATAGAAATGGTAATAGTACTCGGATACTACGATGTTATTAACTTAAAGTTATAACATTTACGTATCAGGTTGCTTTTGGTGATCAAAAGAATCAATATGTTCAGTATTTCTCACAATACATTAAAATCATTATCTGTCTCGAGACTCGTGATAGACATCAACTACACCTTTTGTTGACAACGACTACGACAGGCAAGATGTAAGTGGTCGTTTCAAAGTAGTAATGGTTGTATATAATTGTTATCAGTAACTGAACATTCTGAACTGAAAGGGAAAAAAAATGTTTGCCTATTTGTATTTACCACAACGATATTTTTCTTGTTTTGGTTATAAACCATTAACTGATTTAAATTCTTTAATTTCATTTTAAATTAAGTATGAATGAGTCTGGATGGGGTTTACAGAATAGACATAAATGGACCAATACTACAGAATCATGGTAAAAAAATGGAGACAAAAGGCAAAAAAAAAAAAACGAAAAGAGAATACTGTGGTGCTAAATTATAATAAAGAATAGAGAACAATGGGAAAAATAAAATAAAAATAGAGAAAAAAGCTTAAAAAAGATAATGCAGGGTTGAGGGACCCCCATCCAGACCCTCATGAATGAATAAAAGGGAAATCTTTAATTTTCTATTCTATATTTTTAGAAGATGAGAATCTAACTACTTTAAGCTAGCAAAATGAAAAAAAAGTTGTAAATATGTAAACAGACACTTATTTTATGTCTATTGGCAAGGGCGGCACATGTCTATACAAAGTCTGTTATTTTTTTGCCTCGGATGCCTTCACAATGTACTTTATACTTAGTAGGGTTTTTAATTCACTCATGCTATTGGTTCAACTTAAGTATTCAGTGACAATTTGCACAGAACATTTAGATAAGGCGAATGTCCTACTTCATATTTTGATTATATTTTTTCAATGCAAATAACACAAAACAGACTTTGACAATAATGAGAAAAGACAGGCACTGACAATGGACACGGGACGAATAAAGCTTAAAATCAAACAATACAACACATAAAACTGACATTTAGAGTTACCGCGTGATCTTCGAAGTCAGTACTAAGCAGCGAGATCTGAACGGCTCCGACAGAACAAAGAGATAAAATCCCATGGCCGCAGTATAATATTATAAACTAAATATTCTAACAGAAAAGAATATACTATATATTGACCAACATATTCAAGGGTTTGAAAAGGTACAAAACTTATGCGGCGGGGTTTTTACTTAATATATGAACGGATCCAAAACCTCTCTATGTTTGGTCAGAGATGAAATAAGAATAAAGATCATTGGGACGCATGGTAAAACTAAATAAGACAAGAAAACCGAAGCGTAGATCAACAAAAGAGAAAATAAAGAAAACAAAATCAGGGGACAAGAGAAAAGGGCAATTTTCTCATAGAAGACCAAAGTTATATGAGAAAACACTGACTCCGTAAAACTGAGATCAACGCAAGTGCTCCGACAGGGTAATCAGTTCTAGCTTCTTACAACATACAAGACGTGTTTCCCGTGATGACTAAGCCCGGAAACGGAGAAAATGTATCAAAAAACAAAGGGACAAGGTCTGATTTATTCGGGAATTTATTACAGTCAATTATATTCAATACATACAACAAGCAACAACGAAACCTCTATAATGTCCAGAAGTGTGTTTTTGACGCATTACGGACAGACAGATAGTCCCATTGTAATGTCCTATCCATAACTATGTTACTATGGGGAGGATAAAATGGAGAGTCATTAAATAACATTCCAAAAATGAATTAACGGCTATTGGCAACCGAAGCAGTCTTCCATGGAAAACTCGTACAACAAGATATCAATAATATTACCGAAGAAGCAATAGATTCGGATGTGAATAGATTGCCGATTGTTTTAAAGATTTATAGAATTGAAAGTGAAATTGTTTATGGATATTTTTTTACATGTGATAAGGATTAATGAAAGAAAGGGAAAAACACAGAAAATCCAGAATATCTATTTGCACAATATCCGTTCTTTTAAAAAAAAAAACACCGTTTAAATCGAATATGTAGGACTACGTTTATGTTACATGCATGTTTTAACTGAATGATTTTTATCTTTGATACGACCCCTCTATTTCTTCTGTAAACTGCAGGTGTCAATAGTCGGTGTCTGGAGTTGTTGAAAAGGTCTAATAGACCGATTAAAAGAACATATAACTTGATTATATAATTTTGTTTCCCATATTTCAATCCTGTTTAAACATTTTACATTTGTCCATATTTTTCTAAATAGTTTTTGCCTTATTTCTTTCGTGTTTCCGTATTATGAAAGTGTTTCATGAGTTTTCAGACACACAGAATCGTAAAAATGCACAATTAAAATTTATTTATCTTTTATTTGTTTTCTATAACTATTAGCATTTACTCTTCCTTAGTGCTGGTTCAGTTATAATCCGCATGCACGATTAGAGTGATAATTTTTTTCTCAAAAGTTTGCATCTATATTTAGATGTTTCGTTTCCGCATTTTGAAACGTTTTACTAGAGGTTTCCCGATTTGCTACCGTACCAACCGTAGTACAAACTAGGAGCCATCATTGAACTTTTGAAAATAATTCATATATGCCCTTAATGTCAACGCATGTTTTATGGATCATTACCAAAATTATTTGGAGGATTTTTAGCTACAACTTAATATAGATTTCATGTGGATATGTTCTATATTGATGAAAAACGACATTGTGTGTACTCGATTATGCTTTCAACCAACCGTTACAAGTAACGAACGGTTTATAATTAAGATTTATTTCCCCTGAAATTGCACAAAAAAAAGAAGCTAAATATAAAGCACATTAATATTTTGACTAATTTTCGCCTGTTATATTGAACGGAGGCAGAATGCGGCCATGAATGAAAAAAATATGTTGTTCCCTCAAGATACTATGTCGTTCCCTCAAGATATTATGTCGTTCCCTCAAGATATTACGTCGTTCTCACAAGAAATTTATCTCGTTCCCTCAAGATGCTATGTCGTTCCCTCAAGATTGCTATGTCGTTCCCACAAGATAGTTATCTCATTCCCTCAAGATACTATGTCGTTCCCTCAATATATTATGTCGTTCCCTCAAGATATTATGTCGTTCCCTCAATTTATCACGTCGTTCCCTAGAGATAATTATCTCGTTCCCACAAGATGAATTATATATCAATACAATTTTATAGCTATGTTGTGGGAACAACATAGTATCTTGAGGGAACGACATATTATCTTGAGGGAACGAGATAACTATCTTGCGGGAACAACATAACATCTTGAGGGAACGAGATAAGTTAACTATCTTGTGGAAACGACATAGCATCTTGAGGGATTACACTGTACTTATTTTATATAGAAAATGATAACCGAGGTATAATATTTGAACCTATGTGAACATAAAGCATTTGCTAGAGTGTTAATCGATTTACTAATAAACATGGTACAGCTAATTAAAAATGGTAGAACAAATATTGCGCTTCATGAAAACTTAATTTAAACTTTTATTACCCATAATATAACGATTCAGACAATGAGTATTGGTTGACAAAATTAATTATATAACAACGTCGAAAAGGGGAAATTACTCTGTATATACAAAAATATGAATATTTGTGATTGGGACATACCTGGCTTTACGAAAACTAAAGGCAATTGACAAATAAAATATATATAAAACTTTATCATGTAATATGGGGAAATTAGCTTTAAAACATACACGCTTGCTTTTAACCAAACTTCCTGGCTCGTTATAGTGATATTTTGCTACACGACAAATATTTACTTATTATTTATCCTACACGTGTAGAAATTATGCATGAAAAACATCTTAAATATTCAAACCTTATCCATGCGAACATGATCTTAATTCTTATGAAGTATGAACAAGCGATAAGTAAAATTATCATTCCCAACATATGAGCGTAAAACAAAATGCTATTATGCGTTTAAAAATATCATTGAGTACAGAAATTTTGGGAAGAATAAATGAACCTTTTTTTCTAAAACATATTTACATTTATTTACACTTATATAAAAACAACAATTTAACAATTTGATCTGAAATTGTGAACTAAATTTTGCAAATCTTCTACAAATTATATAGCTTCAAATTTACAAAGTAACATAAATCCTAACGAGGATTTTCCATTCTTTAAAATAATTTTTGAGACCAAAATGTACTTCTACAATTTCGCGTTACTGTTTCAGTTCGAGCATTCAAATTTGATAAACAACCAAGCCACCTTCAGTACCCTGATATTTTGGGGTAAAAAGGGGTGTGGCAAAGAACTTTCAAAACTTTAACTAAACTGAACAAAAACCCTGAATTAATCCGGTTACCTAGACATATATTGTTTAAAGTACAATTTGCTATCTCAAACAGTACAATAGACTTGATTAAAAATACATGTGCTATCGTGTCAACTTGGCTTGGAGCTAAAATCAATCAACACATAGTTTATAAAATTTAAGTTAATTATGTAATATATTGATAAGTATTCTATTTTACAAAGAGAAAATATGAAGTGACAAATTCCTAAGTCTAGGTTAATCTATGGAAAGGCATATACTATGAAATTTAGAGCGAGGGGCTTGCCCCGAGCTCTTAATTTCATAGTATATACCTTTTCATAGACTATCCAATTTAGCACATATTTACAACTCGAGTAATCTTTTAATTGGTCTATTGATAGTTTATTTTGGCTGACTACTTGTATCACAGGTGTTTGTAAAACGGAGCTCATTAACGAAGTTTTGTAAATCTACTCACTAGTATCATTGTAAAATATGTGATTTCAAAAGGCCTTTCACTCCAGAATGAAAAGATGGTAGCTGCTGGTGTAAGTATGTATACTGATATAAAGCGGTGTTTTACTATACATGTTCTTCTTACATGGTAAGATGACAAAATAAATTGACCAAAGGCAGGCAATAATTAAATTGCAGTGGAAGCTTTACATGTTTTGAAAACATTTTTTAATTTCACAGTAAAACTAAAAGATTTATCAGAATATGTTTATATATATATATATATAGGTGGCACATTATCTTCAGACATAATCACAGTCAGTTTTCAATTCATGACATCGTCCTGAACATGCATGAAATATTTGCCACTGGACATTAAGCAACCAATAATCAATAAATCAATCAATTCATGACGAAATAGATCACCTTCCTTAAGAAAGTTTAAAAAATTATCACCAAGTTGCTTTAATTATCCTTCACAAGGTTTCATAGTACACTTTTTTCTGTGTACAAAGCAATTGCATGGATGATACATTATCATAATTTTAAGATATCGTTGTACTCTAATTAAGGTATAAAGAACCATATGTATTACCCTTTATTTAAATGATAAAATTTGCAATTGTCAAAAACATTTTTGAGATCCAAAGATTTTAATAGCAGGATATTTAAAAATCAACGTGAAAATTAATTACAAACTATTTAATTTAATTTGAAATACAGCATTTTATTTCAAAATAGCCAGTGGCAATTTTTGTATTAAATATCTTGATTACGATACAATGAAATCTTACCCTTGTAGTCATTCATGCGTAGTTACTTAGTACACAGGAAAAGTATGTACTATGAAAATTAGAAGGCAAATATAAGCAATTTGATTGGACGAGAAGTTGTAAGTATGTGCTAAATAAATAACTGCTAAAATCCTTTTTCTTAAGTAAATTATATGAGGGTGTCTTCCTCCTATTCCCACTTTTTAAACATCACTATTCCTTCTATTCCCACATGCAAATAACAATAGACGTTTTGATAAATAATTTGTTTTTATAACAATCAAGGTTAATGTAAAATTCACCTAAGATTTACCTGTATTATTTAAAAGAAAACATATTTCTTACGCTGTTTAAGTATAACATTATCTGAAAAAAAAATAAATTAATACACTGTTTATTTGCAATATGTTTTTTCTTCTTCAAAGAATTACTTAAAAATAAAGAATAAGTCAGATAAATAGAAGTAAGATTAAAAAAATCATTGAATTTGTAAACTTAAAAAAATTGTAATTCGAGCAAATAAATTGATTGACACCCATACCACATCTTCTTATATCTATGATAGATAATATTATAACAAACTTTCCCATCTTGCAAGATTTCCATGTACAACAAACGCAAGAAAAACCTACCAGTTTTACCAAAAACTGTTGATGAAATCAACATAGATGGTATTTGGGCACGTACTACCAAAGGTGACCCATTCCTGCTTAAAGACGACAACACAGGCTGTTTTTTCCACTACACGCAATGCATCTGGAGAAAAGCACAGGAAACAGGGATTCAGGTTCCATACAAGGAAGACAACAACATTCATCAACTATTACGCCGTGCCGCTGTCCTTCCGCTTGTACCTACGTACTGCTGAGGTCGAAGATGTGTGGTTTAATGCCCTAACCGACATAGATCAGATTGATACTAACATAAAAAACACGCCCTTTACAGACTATGTAGCAACATACTAGGTCGAACAGAACAGTCACCTTCGGGACCATTACACAACACAGGGACCGAGGACTACATATCATCTAGAGGGATGGCACAGCAAGCTGAAGAAAAATGTCCAGCACCCACATCCAAACATTTTTAAACTCATAAAACTACTGAAACATGAGGAAGCTTTCAACGCCCTGACCATGATCCAGTATGCAGCCAGTGGGAAGAGAGTGGCCCAAAAACGAAATAATGTCGAAATCAACAACATATTATTTATAAGAGCTTAAGGTTAGACACCGCAACCAGGAAGTCACAACAGTACAGTTTGGTGATGCAGCCTCCCACCTTCTCCACATTGAATAGACTAATAAACTTTAATAAACTTATACACAGTGAATTTCTAATGTGTGTGCTACAATGTGTGATTTGTTTTAGTGCTGTTAACTTGTATTGTTTGTTTCATATTATAATGCTTGCTTGAATTTATTGTTGAATTTGTGTTATCAAAGAAATGAAATAATCTACTTATATTTGTTTCCATTTCTTTTATATTTATTTTAATTAAAAACACAGAATTCATACAAATACAAAAATAACCTATCACCTATCCAAAAAACACTTGTCCATTAAAAGTTGATTAAACCATGTTTATACAGTATAACCCTTTGTTTGCACAAGTTTTCCCCCTATTCCCACATGAAATTTTAACTTTTCTTACCAGATTTATAAAAAGTGGGAATAGGAGGAATGAAGTGTAGTATTCGTAGGGTTAG